TCATTTCAGACTGGACTATGTCTCTTGCAAACACTAATCCATTTTCTCCCATTCTATTGTACATGCGATTTCTTACAAATTCCATTGTGCTCTCGCTCTTCCTTTCGTGATCTTCACCTCATCTTCTGCTGCCAGATATTACGTTTTAACTCACGACATATACTACTTATATCAATATAAGTAAGACACCACAGTTGTGATTTGAATTCGGGAATGGAAATCATCATGAATGACAAAGAAGAAGAAGAAGAAGCGAATAGATGGGTTTGGAAAATCAAGAAAGTGAATCCGTTTTGTATTGTATATTTGAATCTTTTGCATTGATGTTTGAGACTGCAATTTGATCAGTTTTTAATTGGCATATGAGAATTATGTGAGCATTGCATCCATATTCCACTAAGTTACGAGTATTATCAGCAACATTTTATGGTAGGTGGATAACATGATGGCATTTGAAACGAAAGGTACTTAGTTCTATTCCTGGAGTGGATGTCTTCTCTATGATACATGTGCTTTCAGATGACGAGCCCCTAATAGCACGAAAAGCTGGAAGTAGTGCTGAGAATTCTATATTGTACCAAAATATAATATTGAATAAAGCCATTAATAATAATAATCTGCGTCATTTTATCATGAGTCTATTCAGCAGGACGCATGTACGATCCCACACAAAGTAATTTTGATCGCCGATCCCTTAGATGACTGATCCAACAACCAAAGTTGTTGATGTCTAACTTCAGTCTATTACAGTCTCCACAAATTTCCATTCTGATAATAATCATACACTCATTAATGACTAGCTTCAAGACGGATTTCTTGGAGTTCTAGTGAGAATCCGTGACTAGTAGAGTCCAATCCATGTTGGGTCTGAGACAGTTATGCACCTCAGACAATCGATCAAGGGTTATACAAAAGGTAACAAATTTGTAATTTACGTTTAGAAATCCCCTGTTTATTTCCCTAACCTCATTTGATATTTTTTCATTTTAAATTCACATGGTCTTATTTACTTGAATCTCCCCATTGATGTTTAGGTCTGCGATTGATCAGGACTCAGTAGCTAAATAGATAACGCGATAGCGTTTGAAGCGAACGGTACTGGGTTCAAGTTTCAGAGTGGACATCAACTCTCTGGGATGCAGGTACATCCAGTTGACAAGCCCCAAATAGGACGAAACGCGCGTCCTGAATTCCACTGCTAGCCACTATCCATCTTTCCTCAAGGCTGCTCGTACTGGTTTATATGTCATTAGTTTGGCACAGTGCCAATATCATATAAATCGGTGTCGTAATTGGCGATTTAGTCACGTGATATATGAACACAACAACAAATATTATATTTCAAATAGTTATAAAAAAGAGTATCAGCTTCATTTGCATATGAGAATTTATTTTCTTCTACCTAATTTATTCTATAGGATTAGTCCACTTTAAGCTCTCATTAGCTTGCATAAGATTATTGAAATAAATATTTTTTACATTTCATGGTATAGAAAAAAATCCCGTGTATGGGATCGTGCATACGCACTTCTGAAGAGTCTTATACTAGGACGAAACGATCGTTCAGTGTTTCCAGGATTTCCAAAGTAGTCTAGCTTCAATTGTCTCATGATTTCGTCAGATAATACTTTTTTAACATATTCACTTAGAGATTTGTTAATAAATGGTTAGGTAAACAGTTTTACACTTTAACGATTCTGTCTGCATTCAATTGAGAAGCAATAAACTCAAATTTTGTGTACTTTATTCACGTTTTCTCAAATTCATTGTTTAAACAGACAGAATTGCTTAAACTTTAGTTTAATGGTTGGATTCATGAGTCGATGTATTCTAGACAGACACTAGAATCTAGAAGCACTCGATGGCTATTTCGTTCTGTTGTGGGACTCCTCAATAGTGCGCATCCACGATCCCGCCTCGCAAGATTCGAACCCAGGACTTATTGGTCTCGCGCCAGGTGCTTAACCAACTAGACCACTGAGTCGGCCTGTATCCAACGGTGTTAATGCCTAACTCCAACTAATCCACAAAATTGAGCTATACATCCATCATCGTCTTCAGTGAGTTACTATCTCACAACTGACCTCCTTGAACTCCACTTGTCATTGTTTCTCACTAGAACTTCAGGAAATACCTCTTGAAGCTAGTCACTAGGTCCTATGTTCTAATCCCTTGAGTGAGATCGTGGATACGCATTACTGAACAATCCCATACCAAAAGGAAACGGCCGTCCAGTGCTTCCTGGTTTTTAGATGGTAGTTGGAGGTAGTTAACAGGAAACCCTAGACCCGGGTTTCGTGCTACTTGGCACTCGTCAGCAAGGTGTACCTGTAATCCTGAGGGAACTGGTGCTCCCCGGCGGATTCGATCTGGTTTCCTGTTGACTACCTCCAACTACCATCTAAATATCAATACATAGTGCCCACAGTGTCGAGTCACTTAGACTGGTGGCCACATTGCAACATGATCGATAGCATTCGATCTGCGCTAATAAGGACTAGACAAGCATGACATTGATCACCACCCAGTGATCAATCAATTGTGCTTCCTGGTTTTCCATGATGGTCTAGCTTTACTGGTTGAAATCATGAGTCAATTGAAGCTAGACAACCACAGAAAATCTGGAAACACTGAACGGCCGTTTCGTCCTAGTGTGGGACTCCTCAGCGGTAGGCATCCACGATCCCGCACCCCGCGAGATTCGAACCCAGGACCTATCAGTCTCGCACCAGGTGCTTAACAAACTAGACCACCGAGCAGGCACCCAACAGTGTTAATGTCTAACTTTAATCAATTCAACCATTAAATTACTACAATCTCCACAAAACCCCTTTCTGGTAAAACAAAACAAAACAACAATTTAGAGTAGAGTTATTCACATAATTTCCTTTTCTTTATAATTTATTATCTATATATATATTCAATTGGTAAACAAGAAACGAGAGTAAAATAATTAAAAAGAAAACTCCTAGAAATTCATATTCCTAATTGATTTCACAGGGGTAAATTTGATTTGTCTTATTTTTTTCATTTATTGAATGAATACAAGTTTCTCAAACAATATATATACAAATAAGCCAACGTACACTCACACTCACACTCACAATCACCCCCCCCGCCGCACACACACACACACAGACAATCAAATGACAACTACATAAAATACACAAAAATATTTTCTTTTTCTTTTTTTTTTGTTTCATTTCACATGGCGTGACCAATATGAATTAGAATTAGGTGGAAGAAATCTAATAAAATCTACATATAAAACTAAAAGAAAAATTAGGTATTAAATGTAGATTGGTTACAAATTGATTAAAATAATGAAATGAAATATTAAAGAAAAATTTTAGAAAAAAGAATAACGAAGAGAGAAAAAAAGAAATTGATTTTGGATTCATTTTGGAAAATAAAAAGTTTTCTTTCTTTGTATGTGTGTGTGTGTTTGTTAAATACGATGGAAACAAAAATTAATTAATTAGATGCCAAAATGGTGTGCATATATATATATATATATATATATATATTACTTACGCCTGTTACTTGTCGTGGAGGAACATAAGCCACCGATCAGCATTGTTCATCCAAATCTATCCTAGATAGTCCTTTCCAGTTAGTATTCATCCCTTTAGTTTCTGTTTCCAATTCTCGACGTATTGTGTTCTTTAACTCTTCCTCATTTCCGTTTCCTTGCAGAATTCCAAGTTAGGGTTTATCATGTGAAACAGTTTGATGATTTCCGTAATGTATGTCTAATGCATTTCCATAGTTAGTTTCTAATTTTTTCTGCTGATGGAAGCTGGTTTGTTCTTCTTCACAGTAAGCTGTTGCAGATGGTATTCGGCTAATGGATATTGAGTATCTTACGTAGATAACTGTTTATATATATACTTTTAATTTCTTGATGATGGTGGTAGTCATTCTTCACGTTTTAGCTCCGTACAGTAGAACTGTCTTGACGTTGGTATTGAAGATTCTGACTTTAATATTGGTTGATAGTAGTTTTGAGTTTCATATGTTATTCAACTATGTAGAAATGCTTTCCTTACTTTACCAATCGTTGCCTTTACTTCTGTATTAGATCCTCCTTGTTCATCGATGATGCTTCTCAATTACATGAAAGTTTCCACCTCTTCCAGGGGAATGAATATTAAATGAATATAATCTCACTTCAAGTTGTGAAGTCAGCCAGAATTTGGATATTATGCAAATCTTAGTTTGTGACTTAACACAAACGACCTTATTCATAATCTTCAAATATGATTGCATCTTTTAAACCAATCATATCTGAATTTCAATACTTCTATAACTAACAATTACATCGATGGATAGTAGCTAGCAGTGGAATCCAGTTTGACGCGCGTTTCCTCCTATTTGGGACTCGTCAACTGGATGTACCTGCATCTCAGAGAGTTGATGTTCACTCTCAGACTCGAACCCAGTACCATTCGCTTCAAACGATATCGCGTTATCCATTCAGCTACTGAGTCCTGATAGGCACTTGATTGTGAATGAAGGCAATATCAAGGCATACGCACAGTATGCACATATGCCAATAACAGACTGATCAATTGCAGTCTTAAACCTCAATGGGAAGATACAAACCGAACAATATCAAGTGAATTGAAATTCACCACATTGCACAAGCAAGTGGCTATCAGGACTCAGTAGCTGAGTGGATAAGGCGATGGCGTTTGAAGCGAATGATACTGGGTTCGAGTGCCAGAGTGAACATCAACTCTCTGAGATGCAGGTACATCCAACTGACGAGTGCCAAATAGGAGGAAACGCGCGTCAAACTGCATTCCACTGCTAGCCACTATCCATCATTGCTTACAAATAGCTTGTGAATTAAGGTAATATCGAGGCATACGCACAGTATGCACATATGCCAATAACAGACTGATCACTTGCAGTTTTAAACTTCAATGGGAAGATACAAGCCAAACAATACCAAGTGAATTTAACAATGACATCTTTTTCTTTTGTTTATTTTCTAGTTATCCAATTCAAATATTAATAAAAAGAATACAACTGTTAAAAAGTCATTTTTATTAAGGTTACTTACACGACAACTAAATAAAAATAGAACTATGAATATGGATCATGCACATGTGAATACAACCTCATCAACATCAGTGTTACCAATCAGTTGTAATTTATCAATGAACAATTCAAATCCATTGTCAATATCATCGACATCAGTATTATCATCTTCTACAGGACAAATGATGAATCCATTCAGATTAAATTATTCTGTAGATATGATGAATTCATGTTTATATAATCCAAATATTCATCATTCTATAAATTATGGACCCTACAGTCCAATATGTGTAAATACTACTAATAATATACCAGTAATATCAGGTAAGTTTTATCCATCTCTTTTTTTTCTTTTGAAACTGTAGATTAATGTTTCAAACATCAACTAAAGTATGATGGTTCTCTTTAAAATATCAGATTACCGGAGAGTAGAAACTATCCGGAGTAACTGATAAGTCTTTGAATTGAACATTTGATTCAGTTCCTAAGCTCTTCTAGTAACCCAAAAGGGTAAATCTACACAGGGACTTGAACATGAGAGAAAAAGGATGAAATATCTTTATAAAAAACACGCTTTACTTCAAAGGTTCGTTTATGTACAGAAAATATTAGGGTATTTATAGTATTTTAGATGGCCTTTGGTTTCCGGAAAGTTTTGGGACGCTACTAAACATAGTAGCAATCTGGATAACATGCAATCAGTAACGCGACATATGACTTTTCACTATCTAGATGTTTCTAGAGAAACTTCTATTGAATGCTGATTGGATAAGATGCTTCTCAATGTTGTCAGTGCTTTTTTCGAGGAGTTTTCTAGATCTTCTTAACAGTTATTTTGGCAGAATAACTAATAATGTTTATATTCTAACATGTTCTTACTTTTGATCTCACTTTTTGGAACAAGTAATTCAGAAAGTCATATTTTCGTAGTTCTTAGTTCTAACTAAACAACAAATCAAGTTGTAAAACGGCCAGTAGTTTGTAGAATATTGTCTAGCTCTCTGACGTAGATAGTTTGATGGCTGAAATTCTGGTGAAATTGTCTCTAATTGGCTGTCTTCATAGTTTCCATCATCTTTATGTGTTCATTTCTTCCTGTTAGCTACTTTTTTTTCAGTCGACTAATGATCAAGTAATTAGTTAGCCCTTTCCAAACAGATTAATAAGTTGAATTTATAACAATGTGTATGTTGATTATAGAATGACCTGAATGTCAACGTTCTACAAATTCTATGCTACTTTCGGGATTTCTCTAATCCAGATATCTCTGATATATTTCTAATCAGGAGTTCTTTGTCTGCAATAATATAAGTACTATTATATTCATCGTACAATATAGAATTCTCAACACAAAATATTTCAACAAGTTTCGCTTTCTTTATTGTTTGATCAGTCCTGACGATAGATATTGAACTCGTGTAGTGATACTCAACAATCATCTCGTAAATCCTTTAACCAAGATTCTTAAATTGTGATTACACCACAAATATGATACATGTTTAGACTTAGTAGTAATTAAAGGCAGTTTACCTAGTTAGTTAGTGGTTACCAGTTAGATATTAATAGTACAAGAATCGATATCTGTTCATTCTTTTCAATGCATATTACCAACCACCATGATATCTCTGATTGCACTTTTATTATCAGTTTAGGTGTTGTGGAGATTGTTAAGTTTTTGACTGAAATGATGAGTCAATGAAACTAGACCATCATGGAAAACCTGTAAGCATTGGACGGCCGTTTCGTCTTAGTAAGAGACTCCTCAGCAGTGCGTATCCACGACCGCGCCTCTCAGGATCCGAACCTAGGATCTATCGGTCTCACGCCAGGCTATTAACCAACTAGACCACTGAGCCGGCATCCAATGGTTTTAGTATCTAACCTCAAACAATCCATGAAATTGCGCAATTGTCTTCCATTGTACTGAGGTAGACACCTGTTTCTACCCGACACGGATTAGCTCTACTGATTACGGTTTCTCACCAGAACTCCGAGAATTCTCTCACGAAGCTAGTCACTAGTAAGCACATGGTAATTATCAGTTTAGATGTTGTGGAGATTGTTAAGTATTTGATTGAAATCATGTACTTTTATTGTTAGTTATACAATGAAATGTTGTAAAATTTTCATAAACGCACAATAACAGATAACTTGTTGAAATCTCTAAATGAAAAGAATAGGTAACACCGATATTCAAAGGGGCAATTAGATATATGCTGTTATTACAATTGCAATAAATTATAAAATATTTTGATCATAATTATGATTAATGCAATTCAAATTCAATAATTTACTAGTTGAATTCATGATCATCATGGAAAACATGGATTTGAATCTTGTAAGTGGGGATCGTGGATGTACACTGTTGAGAAGTCTCATACTAGAACAAAACAATCATCCAGTGCTTCCAGTTTTTCCATGATGGTCTAGCTTCAATTGACTCATGAATTTAACTATTAAAATGACAATACTATTCACAAAATCCCTCTCTTATTAAATTTAATAGTTTACTTGTAGTGTATTTATCAATCCCCATTATAGATCAATACCTTTCCTTTTTTTCTAAACATAATTGATCATTATTAATGACACTAATTACATAACAGGACCCCGAGGGAACAAAAGTCTTATGAGTCTATTTTTAGTCATCGGCTACCATGGGACTGCATCTCCTTACGTTACTCTACTGCCTTGTAGATTAAACCTTTAAGTCAAAGGCTCTGGATGTGACCCCTTAAGAAAACCATCTGCTTCGGTTTGAGCAGCCGGACAGGATCTCAGTCCATACATAAATCGAATGATTTATGTGGCACACACCTATTTGGTGACTTTTTGTATCGATGTTTATGTTTTTAGGTGTTGTAAAGATTGTTAAGTTTTTCATTGAAATCATGAGTCAATTGAAGCTAGACAACCATGGAAAACCTGGAAGCACTGGATGGCCGCTTCGTCCTATGGTGCGACTCCTCAGTAGTACGCATCCACGATCCTACCCCCCCCACCCCGCGAGATTCGAACCCAGGACTTATCAGTCTCACCCCAGGCGCTTAACCAACTAGACCACTGAGCCGGCATCCAATGGTCTTAATGTCTTTATTGATTATTTAAAAAACATTCCTTATTGTTAATTGAATATTGTTCTTTTTTTCTTTTCCTCAATTAAGATGATTATCAATCATTGAATTGTTGGAATGATTTACCAGTATATTATTCAAATCAATTAAAACAAGACAATATAACAAATTTAAATATACCACAATTATATATGAAACAATTAAAACAACCAATCAACGCACAAAATTCAAATTTAGATATTAATAATAATAATAATAGTAATAATAGTAGTAATAATAATAATATTACATCATCATCATCACCACCAACGACAACAACAACAACATTATCATCATTACCAATTGTATTACATAATAAACAAAATGATTCTAATTGGATATTACACGATACTCATCTATTAATGAATAATAATAATAATAATAATAATAATAATAATAATAATAATATAAAGAATAATGGTATATTATCAAATGATTTGAACAATCATTCATTATTAAACCAACAGAATATTTCCAAAACTAAAGAGAATTCACAAGCTTATACAGGATTAATTAAATCTAGTTTTGTATAGTTACCTAGTCGGTTACGTAATAATAATAATAATAATAATAATAATAATAATAATAATAATAATAATAATAATAATAATAATAGTAATAATAATAATAATGGTAATATGTTAGTGTAATGTTACGAATGCGCATGGAGTGAAGTACCTTAACTAAAATGAAACTGAATTTCTTTTCATAGTTGCTTGGTGGTCGGTTTAATTTCTTTTGAAATTCTTTCTTCTTTATCATTCTACTCACAAACACACACACACACACACCCGCACACACACACAATCATGGCAATATATACAAAAATGATAATTTTATTTGTAATCAAAGAGAAAAATATAATACTGAATTTTTATGAGTATGACCTATGATTTAATCAATCCGTTTATTATTAGGATAAAGGTTGTGGAGATTGTTAAGTTTTTGATTGAGATCATGAATTGATTGATGTTAGAACACTATTGAAAACCTGTAAGCGCTGGACGGCCATTTCGTCCTAGTATGAGACTCCTTAGAAATACTCAGCCACGCACCCCGCTCGCCGGACTAGAATCTTTCAGTCTTACGCGGGAATGTTTAACACTTAGACCACTGGATCAGTATCCAACAGTGCTAAGGAGTTCCACAATTGGACGGAATGACCGTACAGTGTTTCCAGGTTTTCAATGGTGATCGCACATCAATCGGTTCATGATCTCAATCGATCAGTTTATCTTGATTAAGAGAATAATATTATTTAAATGGTTGGATAGTTGACAGAAAATCTTGCACCTATATTTTGTGCTAGTTAATACATGTCACCAATGCATATCTGTAATCTTATGAAGACTATAGACTTAAGTGACTCAGGTTCATATACCATAGTGATTATCATCAGTTCTTTTGAGTTTTCAAGTAAATGTTGCCGACAACTATAAACTAACATTAGATTACCTTCAACCATATAATAGTTAATTATAGCCTATTCGATGATGAATCAATTAGAATGATAACCATATTGTAGTTTGATTGATAAAATCCGATCAACATTAAGAGATTAGATAAACATAACATTGATCATTATTCAGTAACCGATCAATCAACAGTTTTTGATCAGAAAAAAATATTTAATCAAAAAAGGCACCATTACAAAAAACGTTGTTACAAATGGATCAAATATACTATTCCATACTAAGATGAAACGATCGTCTAGCGCTTCCACATTTTCTATGGTAGTCTAGCTTAAATTCACTCATGAATACAATTATTGAATTAACTATAATTTTCTGTAACATTTAATAAACCATGAATGCTAGAATGCCTATGGTGATGTTAATGATGTAGACTCATCAGATGATACCTTTTCAATATATTCACTTGGAGATCTGTTAATAAATGGTTAGGTTTTACACTTTAACGATTCTATCTGCAATCAATTGGGATGTAATAAGTTCATATTTTGTGGACTGTATTCATGTTTTCTCAAATTCACAGTTTTAATAAGCACAATTGCTTAAAATGTTATTTAATGGTTCAATTCATGAGTTGACTTAAGCTAGATCACCATTGAAAACCTAGAAGCACTGAATGGCCTTTTCGTTCTAGTATGGGACTACTCAGAGCATCCAAGATCCCTCATGGTGGATTCGGACCCAGGACCTTCGGCCTCTAGATCACTGAGCCGGAATCCAATGCTGTTAGTGTCTAACTTTAACCAATCCACGAACTTGCGCAACCGTCCACCACTGCTGAGGAGTCCCATACTAGGACGAAACGGCCGTCCAGTGCTTCCAGGTTTTCTATGGTTGTCTAGCTTCAATTGACTCATGATTTCAACCTGTGAAATTTCTAAAAATCTCCACAAAACCCATTCTGATAAAAATTTAATTATCGAGTAATCTGAAAATTGTAGAATTACTTCAACACATATCTTTGTTTCTTCTCATCATCTGCCACTGATAAGTGTTTATAAAATCAAAGATTTATTAGGTTAAACATTAAAGAGTTTCGCAGGTTTCACTATCTTTGTCATTTTATGGGACCCTCCACTTCTTCAAATCATCTGGATATAGAAGAACAAACACAATCAATAAAGTAGGGAAATTGTTTATGCACAATAACATTACCACTAGTCGGAACATTGTTTATTCAGGAATCTTTAAAACTATATTCTGAGTACATACGCATTAAATCTAATCTGTACATGTTACCACCGTCCAAATATGAAGTACTTTATGTTCAAATGTAAATTCTCCCAAGCTCCAATGAAGTTTGATTTAGAAAACAAGATGGTACATGAGACGTTACCGCCGATTTGTCCAACTTATCAGTGATCTAATGGCTTATGAACTCTATATTCATATGAGATTTTCTGCTTTATATGTGTATAGAGGTGACTTAGGGACTAAAGTACTCAACTCTTTATCATCAGTTCATAAATTAAAACTTTAATCCATTTAACTCAACTTGAACAACGAAACATTACTGCCATTCGCAATCATAGAAGCAATTTTATTCATAGATCAGTACAAAAAAGCTGTAAATGGTATGTGAATGTTTCTAGTTAAACAAAGATACCTTCACAATTGATTGGTCGCTGGATGGTGATCAATGTCATGTATATCAGGTCCTTCTTAGTGTATCCCGAATTCTATCGAACAAGTAGCATTGTGGACACTAGTCTAGGTGACTGGACATTGCATGCACTATGTTGAGATAAGACGCTGGTTGTAGGTAATCAACAGGAATCTCTGGACCTAGATTTCGTGCTACTTGGCAGTCGTTTCTAACTGTGAAGCTGAGTGACATGGAATCGAATCCGTCAAGGAGCATCAGTTCCGTCAAGATTACAGGTACACTTGCTGACAAATGCCAAGTAGCACGAAATCTGGGTCCAGGGATTCCTGTTGACTACCTCCAACCACCATCTTAACACATAACTTCATATAAGACAATGTTACTTTTGTAAAGTATTGAACTCTTTTCTACCTATTTAACTCCCAACTAACTATGCAGCCTAATTTGATTACTGATAACTGATTTTAGTATTTCTCTTGTCGTTTATTCACTTCTCATTATATAACGAATAGGTGAAAGTATTTATAAAGTGATCAATCAATGAATAAAATGAAGATCTCATTAGCCATATACATATTATCAATATTTGATCCCATCATTTTAGCGATCAAGAACGTAAGTTATATTAAATGTTCAAGATATCAAACTCTAGTTAGTAAAGGGTGAGTGTAATTAGTTGGTTTTAAATTCAATCGGAAATATGAACAGTCTATTTGACCTTAGTAGTTCATTGTATAAAATTGATGTAAAACGTTTGTAAATACTATGAATATACATGTAATGTATATCAAACAAATAAATAGGTTATTCCGAACATGGTAAAATAGTTTATCCTGAACATGATAGATTACAGATCTGATTTACCTCTATTATTTAGCCAGTCAGTCGGCTACAGCATATGATCAGGCACATATATGAATCGGTCCAAGTTGCCACACCTCATTAGCACAACAAGATAAACATCACATTCATAGAAGTAGTTACTTCAATGATAGTAGTATATAAAAGAAATATTGTGCATAAGGGTATAATACAGGGAGAAAGAAAGGTACAAAGTAATTCGGATCTGAGCCATGGCTCAGATTAGAAGTTAGTGACTTCAAGCAATTCAAGCCACGTTTTGGTTTGGCCGCCTCTAACTTAATTCCAAACGTCTCCAAAACTAGTCACTATTGTGCGTCGTGGTAATCGGTGTTCAAGCATACGTAACGCGCGGCACAACCATCTCAGTCGATGTAGGCTCAAAGCTTCATCAACTGATTTACTATCATTCCTTAATACTTTGCGTCTAACCTTATTATTACTTACCCGGTCATCCCAGCAGATGCGAGCTATATTTCTAAGACAACTGTGATCAAACACTAGTAGCTTAACCTCTATTATTATGTTTACAATGATAAGTATGTAATGAATGTTAGTTAAACTGTAAGTATTGACTGATGTATCATGATGAGTATACATTTAAAATTTTCTGGTCCGATTAGCTCTAACAGTTCATCATTACAAAATTGATTTACATAATCAAGAGGGAATAATTTTAAAATTCATAATTGAACGGAATACAAGGAGTGAATGAATTTAAAAAAACAATTATTATTTATTTTAACACATAGATATTGGTACAAGGGGACATCAAATACATATGCGCCACATAAATCATTCGATTTGTGTGAAGGCTGAGATACTGAACGAGTGCCTAAACCGAAGCAGGTGGTTCTCTTAGGAGGTAACACCCCCAGCCTTCGGCCTGAAGGTTTGATCCACAAGGCAGTGGAGCAACGTTATGAGATGCAGTCCCATGGTATCCGGTGACCAACGATTGGTTCATACGCCATTTGTTCCATAAGGATACTGGAGCCCATGTGCACCATTGTTTGGGAATCAAGGTTTTCCAACTTCCCCTAGGTGGACTCTCCATGTCCACCAACCTGGTTAAAGCGCCGGAGTTTCGTTTTTCGTCCTCTCAATTTCGTAAACAACACCCTTGGTGCGAGAAGGCAGTGAGTAGGACTTTCCTGGCAGAGGCTATATAAGCGTGGCCATGTGCGAGCATTTGAATAGGGAGAGCGGACTCTTCCCACTCTCGGACGTACCAGGGAATTTGGGGGCAAAAACAATTATATACCTACATTAACATTATTTACTATGGCTATCACTTCGTTTAGTCATTCCGTCATTTAAAAACTTATTCCTTATTCCAAGTTATAAATCAAGACAGATGAAATGCATATTTCTGAAAATATGCAATAATATAGTACATATCCATACACTCAAATTGTAATTACACTTTACATATGAGTATAAGTGATACTAACCAGTTCCATTAACTGAATTAAGCGAGATAATGTTCGCGCGCGAGACTGAAGACCCTGAGTTCGAATCCCACGAGCGGGATCGTGGATGCGCACTGTTGAGGAGTGCCACAATATGACCAAACGGCCGTCCAGTGCTTCCA